GAAGGGCGAGACGAGGTTTCCAGACTTGATCAATAGGAAGGTGTTGGACGATTAGAACATCCGGTTCTATGCCGTCTCCGGGCAGCATTCTAGCTTGGCGATGCAAGAGATAGTTGTGGATATTATGGTGGGCGAGGAGGTGAAGAAAGTCTTCAAGACAAGAGTTGTCCGCCTGATAAAAGGCAACTCGCCCCTCCGATCTATCATATACATCTCCCACGCGCAGAATGTCAAGCAAGAAACGTGCTACAAATCGGGTCTGCACGAGACATTGGCACGAACACGGAAGCTCTGGGTTCAACTGAAGAAGCCACAAAAACCAGGACAAGGACGTGCACTAGCAACTAGCGCCTGGCAGGTAAGCCTCGTTGCATGTGGCATAGCATGTGGCCTCACGCCATTTCCATTGCAGGAATTCTCGAGTCTTCTCTCGAAAACACTAGGGGTCAATGACACACTCAGCATCCATAACATTCTACTCGCCACAAAAGTTGTTTTTGACAAATGGGTAGATGTGCTGAGGAGGTACCATGACGGGGAGTTGCCAAACTCAATGGGTGTGGAGGACGGCCGGAAGCCCAATGATTTGAAGCTCAATGCCTTGCGTTTCTTGCGGTCTCTAGACGACGACGACCTTCTGACAGTGGCTAATGCTCTTCTACGTGGTGAGGTAGTCTTCAACAAGACCAAAATGACTCCCGGCCATATTGTGACATACGAGGACTTGTGCACGACTCTGAGAGCTCGTGCGCTATTGAAGGATTGGATCTTCGAGCAAGTGGCCGTGGAGAGGGTGAGCACCGACACCACGCAAGAGATGATGGAAGCGCTGGAGTTGTCAAATGAAGACATCGACGAGTACATGAAGGGGGCCCCCAAGTTCATCGATCTGCTGCGGGATGCCACGAAAAGTAAAGCTGAGAAGTTGGATCAGTATCCAAATTTCATTAAGATTGATGTCGACCGTCGGCTTCAGAAACAGCTCGACCCCGCAGCAGAGGCCTATCGAGAACCTTACCGGGTATACTTGAATTCGGATGAGGATCAAAGGTGGAGGAGCATCGTTTCCCGCGGAGATGAGCAGGTCAAGAACATCTTTTGTGTGATGGACTTCACAAACGAGGAAATCACTCATGCAGACGAAGTCAGCTCCATCATTGACTTAATGGTGGGACTTGCGGAGGTGGAATCTTCAGTCCACTATATGATCTACGACTCCGAATCCTATCACAAGTTCTGGAAGGCCTTGAACGAGGTGAAGGCTCGGTTGAAAGGCAAGGAGATGCGGGAGATCCATGGGATAATGGCTAAGAAGAAGATACCGACGAATGTCCGCATCTTCACACTCGCCCTTGTTATTGGTCCTGCAACAGAGTGGGACTGGAGTGACTTCCCAGCTTCGTTCGACAAGGCCAATCGAATTGATCTGAGGGAGGTCAATTTACCCATGCCTGAGGAACTGAAGACAGCTATGGAGCTTTCGAATCCAAAGAAAGCTCCAGGTGCAGCATGGGAAATGCTCAGCTGGGTCTTCAACGCAATAGCGGGTGGGTCACCTGCTTCCGGGCAAATGCGTTGTCGAGTACAACTGCGGCGGACTATTCTTTCGAGCCGCACTACTCAAGAGTGTCCCGTGTGTTGCGGTGACAAACTCCATTGAAGAGGTGACTTCAATGGAGCATATAATTAAAGTTGCTAAAGAAAAACAAATCTTCTCTGTGAACCTGGTGAGTACACACTTTAAGTTTAAATGTTATCTCACAAGCTCTGTATGCAGGAGCGTGGCCACCCCCAGATGCTGAAACGGCGTTAACAGCTAATGTTGAAGATACCCATGTTGGGCCGAGCTCACAACCTGCACAAGGTAAGGTCACGTGAGGCCTTATGCCATTTTGATTATAGATCGTTGTGAATATTCAGACACGAGGACTGAAAAGCACACTGGTGGCGCATCGAAGAAGGACAAACAGACAAGCAATAGGAAAAAAGGAGGTACAAATTATATTTGCAATGGCGTGTGGTCTCATGCCATTCCTTGCAGGAGAAACTTCTTCAAAGGCAAAACAGGCAAGCACCAGCCAAGCTCAAACTGACAGTGGTCATAAAAAGCGAAAGCACGTTGGACAGTCGTCGAGATCAGAGGCGTTTGATTTGAAAAGGAAGAAGGGCAACGAAAAGATGATAGGTAATGCCTCGCGGTTATGGCGTGTGTGCTCATGCCATTCATTGCAGATCAAGGGCTGAGTGAAAGCAGGCAGTCACCACCTCATGACTCAGATTCCTATGGCGGACTCCCCTTCCCCAATCTCAATGGAGAGGTACAATGGATGAGGGATGCTTTTCAAGTCAGGGCCACGTTTTTCTCATCTCGTCGTCTTCGAAGGGTGCAAGAACGTGCAGAAACCATGTTAAGACAGTCGGGTGAGGATACGGTCCTAGGTGACGCACTAAAACAGGCTATGGATGTCTTGTATTTTGAGATGGAGACTCGGCCAGATGATTTTCCCAAGATGGTCCTGGAAGAACAAGCCATCCAGCCTGAGCAGCCTATGGAAGAAATGCAGGAGGGGGATGAGGAGCCAGAGAAAGATAATGAGCAGGAAGAGCAGAAGGACGAAGAGGAGGACAAAGAAGAGGAGGACGAAGAAGAGGAGGACGAAGAGGACTTGGATGGTCCTCACAATGGTGACGATCACAATAACGACAACGACGATGATGACGATGATGGCCAGCCTGAGGTGGCCAAAGAGCAACGGAGGAAGGTCATACAAGACAAACCATCAGGTAAATAATAGTACATCCATTCCTAACCTTTTACCATTTCTAACATTGTCCATGTAGGTCGCAGAGCAAATGGTAAGTAGAGATTATTCAGTTGAATTTACAAACTCTAGCCTTTAGTGTCGAGGAAGGATAGTGCCAAGCAAGGGTCAAAACGTATGTCCAATCCTTCAGAATCAGCAGTGCGCCCAAGTGATATCGGTCCTAGTTCCTCAATAGCAGTTGATGGTAAATACAGTATAGTCGATACAATGTGCTAATGAGTTTGTTTTTAGTAGCACGGGAGGATACCATCTCAATCGAAGGGAGATATTTGGACATGCATATGGATCCGCCAGTGGACTCTACTTGGCTGCAAGAGTCATCAGAGCTGGTGGAGGCTACTATCCATATCAACGCCAAGCAAGCTGACCACGCTCCACTTGATGCTGCCCATACCACTGAGTCAATCTTGTCCACGTATCCAACTAACGGTGACCAGGCGCCATTGGACCCACATGAGGCCGCCCCAGCCGCCGAGCCGGTCGTATCCTCATTTCCAACGGACTCAACGTGTGCCCAATCGTCTGACTACGCGCCGTTGGAACCTCCCTACACCGCCCTTGCTGCCTGTTCGGTCATGTCCACTTTGCCAACGGAGGCACCAGCTGAAATGGCGTGTGATCACACGCCATCGGAACCACCCCATGCCACTGTTGAGCCAGTTGTACCAGAGTCTACAGCTGAAATGGCATGTGCCCACACGCCATCAGATGCGATTGACCCCACATTGCAGAGGAGAGTATTTCCGCCCTTCACGTTTCCTCGACCAAAACCCTCTCAACGACCATCGGGAGCAACATTCGCTAATATTGTAGATGGTAAAATTGACTTGTACCATTTTTTATGCTGACACATTTCATTTCAGAGTCACGGCGAAGGTACTGTATCGTTTTTGATCTGAACGGTGTCCTTTTCTCCCATGAGCGTGGCTCGTCCTCGAATGTCATTGCACCCTCCAAAGCCTGCGGTCGCAAGTTGGTCAAAAGAGACAGATTCACATTAATCACACGGGAGAAACTGCGGGATCTAATAATGACCATGCGACACTTAAAACAGAGGGCCGGGTTCAATTTGCAATTGGGAGTTTGGACATCCATGATGTGCCACAATGCATTAACGTTGCTACAGATGATGCACGATCAGACGCGAGTAATATTACCATTTGACTTTCTCCTAACACAGGAGGATTGCTTGACTATGGTCCATGTGAGGGGTAGCAAGCCCATCTTCGTCAAGCCAGAGGCTGTAGTGATGAACCGGACTGCTAGCTCAAGTGAAATCCTCATCATCGATGACTCGCCGATTAAAACTGCAGCGAACACGCACACATATGCAGTGCACCCCATCTCTTGCAGTATGGAAACTAGGGAGAAGAAACCGTATGTTCTGGGGGACCTTGCAAAACGGCTTGGAGCGATGGTGATAGAGAACCGGCCAGTCCAGGAGGTGGCTGCAGAAATCAACCAAATGGCAGATGGAACGGTATATCAGAAGCCATTTGATCAGACAGACACCAGTCATCATTTATGGCATGTATATTGTCTAGCCAAGCACTATCCGCATCTCCATAATCTGCTCAACCGGATGGGTTCTTCGACCACTGAACATGAGCGTGGACGTATTAGAGAAGAGATGGCATTACTACTGGGTTTAAATCCTGATAGTGTGGAGAGTGATGAAATTCCAAGATTATTGTATAGGCGTTGGAGGCAAAAAATAACAGTCTGAGATGGCATGTATTTATTTAAAAATGTAACTTATTATGGCATGGGGTTCCATGCCATTGTATTAATATTAAAAGACAATTCTTTGAGAGGATTTGCATTATACTAGAAGTGTTACAACATGTTATTGGAAGTCTACGAAGTTGTTTTATTAATAAGGGGAAAGTAAAGATTGAATGGGGACTTGGGCTCCACCTAGACTCGGAGCAACTGAGCCAATATTAAAAGGATGGAAAGAAATTGGACGACGATGACAAGGAGAAGAGAGAGGTGAAGCAGTGGCAAGGGGAGGAGAAGTGATTGAGTAGACATTTCCTTGTTTAAAATAAAATGGCATGTGCCTCAATGCAATTGAATTTTGTTATATTTATATACTATATAAAGGTTTGGAAACCTTATTTTACAAGTGGGATAATGACAATTCCCACTTTAACGAAATAGAGCTTTCATGCATTATTTAAATTTTAGTTTGAATGTCACTATGATTGTAGCTACTACAAAAGATATGACAAATAGCAAAGCTCCAGCTAGAAGTTCCTCGTCCCTTCCATCAACCTCTTGGGTCTTCTCCTCTGCTGTGGTGGAATTCCTTGAAGACGTGTGATTGTAAGTAAGAGGAGAGCCATACAATCCTGGATTGCCTTCATAGCTGCTGCTTTGAAAAGTTGTAAGCTGGCCTCCCTGAGGAATCAAGCCTGATAGATTGTTGTAGGAAACATTCAGGCTGAAGAGAGTGTTCAGCAAAGTAAGAGAGCCTGGAATCGTTCCGCTCAATGAGTTCTCAGAAATATCCAAGGTCTGGATGTTATCAAGATTTCCCATGGACTCTGGAATTGGGCCTGATAGGAAGTTATGAGAAAGATCCATCTTGAGTAGACTGCGCATGTCACCAATGCTTGCCAGGATCTGGCCGCTTAGATTGTTGTGTGACAAATCCAGCACCATGGCGCTTGAAACCTCCATCTTGAAATGACTACCATATAGCAATATCGTCCAGGAGCACTCTGGATGAACCAGAGTGTTTAAACGCTTCTTCAAATCTTCTAAAAGAATTCCTTGCATCTCCAACATATTATCCATCTTGCAATGAGATTGTCGAACCTCCAACAATTTGCAGTTCCCCAAATCGGTATCAGTAACAAAATTCTTCCCAAACACTAGCTCTCTCGTTACGTTTCGGCCAATACGAGCAGGAACTCTTCCAGAGAAATAGTTGTTACTCAAGTCCACCATAAGCAGATTCTTGTTCTTGGACAAGCCCAAAGGTATATCACCTTGTAAAGAGTTATTGCTAAGTTGCAGAGTTTGGATTTGATTCAGCTCCTCGAAAGACAAGGGAATGCTTCCGATAAGCCTGTTGCTGCTGAGAGATAGCCAATTCAAATTCTGAAGCCGTGAGAGCTCTGGAGGAATGACTCCTTCGAGCATGTTGTAACTTAAGATTATTGTGGTCAAGTTGGAGCACATTGCAAGACTGGATGGAATGGTGTCTTGAAGTTTGTTCACCCATGCAAGAAGGTGGCGGAGGCGTGGAAGCTTGTTGCAGAGTGTCACTGGTATGTTTCCACTCAATGTATTGAAACTCAAATCCAGCATCTCCAGACTAGTGCAACTCAGTACAGAGTAAAGAATTCCACCAACAAGCTTATTGTTTGGCAATAGTAGGCTTTTGAGTCTGGAAGGAGATGATAAAGAGCACACATTGTTTTGAGTGTTATTGAGATTATTGGAGCTGAGATTCAGAAAGAGAAGTCTGTCATGGATTCCCAAAACTTCACCAGAAATACGATTATAGCTTGCATCCAGAAGCTCAAGAGATGGTAAGAAGTTCTTGCTTAAGCTTGGACTGCCTAGAAGTTCTATGAATGTCCCTGAGAATGAGTTGGAAAAGAATTTAAGCAGTCTGAGTGAAGAACACTTAGCTTGTCCATGGAAAAGTTTTCCAGAGATGTTGTTGGAGGAAATATCCAGCTCAATTAGATTCTTGCATGCCTCATCTGAGTGGATTTGAAATGTGGAGAATCTATTTCCTGCCAGGTTGAGCGTATGAACTTTGTTGGAATCATAAAGGGAAAATGTGCCAGAGAACTTGTTATCAGAAAGTGAAATATTTTGCAAATTGGTGCAAGTTTTGATCAATTGTGATGGTATTCTTCCTGTGAATTGATTGCTTGAAAGATCCAGATACTCAAAACTCTTGCAATTCAGCTCTGATGAAATTGTGCCATTGAGCTGGTTATGCGAGAGATCAAGCCGAGTCAAGTGTGGACAATTGCCAAGGAGCTCAGTTGGAAAACTTCCAGTGAGCTGATTTCTGGAGATATTGAGCACTCTTAAAGAGTAAGATTGCAAAGATATCCCTTCCAATGTATCTGTGAAAAGACTCTGATATAAATGCATTTCCTGAAGACATCCCAACTCCTGGATTGTGGTCGCAAGAAGAGAACTGGATAGTTCTAAGGATTGGAGGCTAAGCTCAATCACCCGACCTTTCTCAGAACAAGTTACACCATCCCACTTGCAAGGAGTGCTTTGGTTCCCATTCCAAGACTTCAGAGTTTTTGAATGATCAACAACAGCATTTTGGAAGCGCCACAATGTGTCAGTGTCTTTTGTATTCGCTACAACTGTAAGAAAACAGAGAAAACAAATCAAGGCAAACATGACTTCAGTGTTTTCCAATATTTCACGGACTTATAAACAACACTTACACCATATGTGAGTCAAAAAGAAAAAGCAGAAGGAAGTCAATCTTTACTGCATATTCAAAGTATTCACAAGAAATTTCTGCTGTCAAATATAACAATTGCCGTGTCAACAACGAGTCTAGTGAAGAAAACAAAAAAGAAATGACTCAAAGGGCCCATTCAAAGTCAATCCAGAGTATGACATAGTATCACAGATCCACTCGCTACATGCCACCACGTGTACAATGCATCAGTCTGTCTCCCATTTGTACAGACTCAAATGGGAGAGCTCTAGTACAGTCTCCCATTGGCCATGCACACAATTGGATCATAGTGTTCCACAAGATGGAATCATTCTAACACAGGTGGACATTACATACCTGTGAATCATAGCTGTCCATGACACAATATTCCACTCAGGCATCTCCCCTAGAATCTGCCGTACTGCACGTGGGTGGCTGCATTGCATATGTCCACCATCACCAGTCTCACTAGGGCATTGCGTGGAAGATCCTTTTAGTATCTTCCAGCTTCCAGTGTTAGAAAATGCTTGGAGCATCATATTGTGATCCCTAATTTACTGGCAATGCCATAAGGAAAAGGAAGTGAGTTATTTTCTTTAAGTTTTTCTTAGCATTAATCCATTAATACACCTTATATGTTTTATCCATGGACACCAAATTTGAGTGATAATTGATATAAGAGTTATGCACAATGTGATATCTAAAAATTTAATTAAATTATTAGGATTGAAGTTGAGCAAATGTCACCACATTTCCAGTTTGCAAAAGGTGGGCATGTAGCCAAGAAATTTATGAGTGATGTCCCAATAAGGCACAAAGAGTCGTACAAAATGCCACCATAGCAGCCAAATAAAAGCTAAAAGTAGGAAACAATCACTATTATTGCTTGCATTGGCATCCTTCTGAAGGTCATTTGGATTAGATTGCACACCAACAAAAAACAATTTAGGCATCTATGCAACCCTGGATTTCCCTCAAACTAGCTTAAAATTTGTGTTGAAGACATTGGCTGTGGGAATTTTCCCACTCAAGTTGTTGTCCACCACACTAAAGCTACTCAGTTGAAGCTCTGCAATGCTTGAAGGAATAAGACATGCAAGCGATTGTGTGAAAGATCCACCAACAACATATCGGTGAATCTGGTTAAATTATGCAATGTACCTGTAAGATAGTTGTTTGAGAGATTGGGGATGTGGAGGTTTGCAAGGTTGGCCATGCAGCGCAAGTTGTTGAATGCCATTGATAGGACCAGCAGCTGCATACTGCCTATGGAATGCGTGACGTTGACGATAATCTGGAGGATGATAAGTTGGCAGGGATTTGCGTGGATATCGTAAATCTGGGGAAGTTTCGGAATATCTCGCCTTCCAGGTTGTTCTGGTCGGTTTTGAGCTCTCGAAGGGCCAAGCAGTTATTAAGATCCAAAGGAAGGTGGCCATGCAAGGTGTTGTAGCACAGTTGCAAAGACTGGAGTTTAGGGCACGTGCCTATGGATGGTATCTCGCCAGACAAGTTATTTCACATACGTACTCAAGTTCTGCAGCAGATCCCTTGGAGCAGAAATCTGGGATTGTTCCTTCAAAGTTATTGTGAGAGAGGTCCAGCCATCTGAGGCTCTTGCTCCAATTTGTAGGAATGGGACCATTAGTGAGATGTCAATCCTTTTGATGCTGGTCGAAAAACTCCAGTTTGAAGGAACGCCACCTAAGAGCTTGTTACCGGAGAGTTGTATCCTTAGCTCTGGCCAGAAGGCATTCAGATGTTCAGGCACTGCTCCAGATATCCCAGTGCTATTGAGATCAAGGAATCTGCAATGGTCCCAATTGTGTGATCTGACTGTCCTGTAGCTCGTTGGCTGAAATCCAAATGCTGCAGTTTTGTGCACTTGGATAGAGCAGCAAGAATCTTGAGTTAAGGGTTTAACAAACCATATTCATTTAACAAATATGCTTACCTCCTGAAAGATTGTTTTCCAGGTGAGGTGTTTGAAATACACATCCTGAGGTGAAACTCTTCCAGTAAAAATTGTTGACAAGTCCAGTGCAGGTGAGAAATGAATCAAAGATGCCTTGGAAGTTGTTGTGAGAGAACCTGAGAGAGCCTGAGATGCCTCAGATTCCGCTGAAGGTAGACTGCTTGCACTTCTGCAGCATGGTTTCTCAGAGCAGGAGAAACTGTGCCATTGAGGTAGGGAAATTACACTGTTGTGAGGAACCATTGGCAAAAGTTGTGGCTGTTTGATACATTCCAATCAGAGAGTGCTTGGTCCTGTTGCATTTTAAGAGTATGATAAAATCGTTGCTCTGAACATGGCTGATTCCTGCACAAATTCATGATAGCAAGCATAAGAACAAATGTAACAAGCCATGATTCCTTTTCTTTTCTTACGGCTATTTATGTCTCATGCATACGTTCTAGATTGCTAGCACCGTAGATAACCAAGATGCAAGGTCAAAATATTTCGAAATTGATGGCCCAATGTCTAAACTGACCCAAGACCGAAGACCAACGACTGCGCAGACCCCGTGCCGTGCCTTCGGCTAACGACAGAGGTGGTACGGCAGAAGCATGCGACGAACTTGTCCTTCACTATGCTAGATCCAACAATAATAATGGATGTTTCACTTTGTCTTTGCAGAGGATCAATCTGAAACTTGGCTCTTGTAGCGTTTCTCCTCTTGAAATTTCTTGAAATTTGCAATTACACCACTTTTCCATTTCCTTTAAACTAACCTTTACCAGAAAGGATGTTGGAGAATGATACATACGGTCCCGCATGGCCCGGCCCGAGCACAAGCATGCCACCAGCAACCCGACCAGCTCGTTCTGTGTCGTTGTGCGTCTTACAGGCCGACAGCAGCGTGTTCCAGCCGACAACACCCGGCTCCACTGGCATGAACTCCATCAGCTCCTCAGCCTCGTTGAGCTTCCCAGATCTCCCAAGCAAGTCGAGCATCCCCACAAAGTGCTCCACCCCTGGCGTAAAGCTTTGGTCCTCCACCATCTTGAGGAAGTAAATCCGCCCCTCCTCCACCAGGCCCGAGTGGCTGCACGAATGGATGATGCTCAAGAAGGCCACTTGATCGGGCTGGACTCCTTCCAGATCCATCTCTTGAAACAGCTCCAGTGCCTGCGCTCCGTGGCCCTGCTGCGCGTAGGCTGCGACCATGGCCGTCCATGAAACCACCGTCTTCTCGCGCATCTTGTCGAAGACAAGCCTCGCTTCTTCTGGCTTCCCACACTTCCCAAACATGTACACCAGTGAGGTAGCGACTTGGACGTTGGAGTCGAATCCAGCTTCTGTGATACGTGAGTAGACTGCGCGGCCCTTGTGGATGGAGCCAGTGCTGGCGCACGCCTCCAGGACGCTTATAAAGGTGGTGTCGTTTGGTGCTAGATCCATCTCTGAGTAGAGCTCCAGCGCGTCCTTCCCGAGGCCCTGGCTCGCGTAGGCACCCAGCATTGCGTTCCAGATAACCACGTCTTTGTTTGCCGTTCGGTCGAACAAAAACCTGGCATCTTCGAGACTCTTGAGTTTCCCGTAAATGTGGACGAGCGCTGTCGCGAGTATGAGATCGGACTCGTAGCCACCGGCTCGAAGTTGATGATGGACTTCTTTCACTTCGTTGAGATTGCCGAAGTCTGACCAGGAAGTAAGAACTGTCGTGAAAGTGATGTCATCTGGCGTTAGTCCTTCCAGGTTCATGCGGCGATAGTGTTGAAGGACTTGACCATGGCCGTTCTCTGCATGAGCCCGGATAATCGCGTTCCAGGCAGGAACACACCTTCGTCCCTTGATCTTCTCAAAAACCGTCCTCGCATCCTCTAAACTCCCACACTTCCCGTACATGTCGACGAGCGATGTCAATATCCTGTCTGTTTCGATCCCACTCGCAGATATCCTTGCATGGATTTCCCTTCCCGCGTCCAAAGCCCCAGAGATGCAGCACGCATCTAAAGCGGCTACCAAAGTCACTGCATTCGGAGCCACACCCGCCTTCTCCATCTCCTCAAATAACTCAAGAGCTTCTTTCCCTTGCTCGTGCTGGACGCACGCCGTGATCATCGTAGTCCAGGTAATCACGTTTCTGTGACTCATACGGTCGAAGATCCCTCTGGCAGCCTGTAAACTCCCGCACTTCCCATACATGTCGATGAGGGAATTCTCGATATACATCACCGACTGAAAACCTTCGGCTCTTATCCGTGTGTGGATTACGTTCCCCTCGACCAAGGCACCCAAGAGAGAGCAGGCGTCCAGCAAGCTGACGAAAGTCACGTAGTCCGGCTTCACACCCTCTAGATCCATCCTCCGAAAGTGAACAAAAGCGTCTTTGCAGTGCCCGTGCTCGGCAATGACCGCCAGCATTGCCGACCAGGAGATCAAGTCCCTTCTCTCCATCCCTCCAAACACGGCCTTCGCAGATGCCAAGTCTCCACACTTACCGTACATCTTAATAAGTGTGTTCCCAGTGGAGACGTCTGCTCCAAATCCACAGATGACAACGAGTTCATGTGTCATCTTGCCTTCAGCTAGAGCACCGGCGCTAGAGCACGCCCCGAGAATGCTCATGAGGATGATCTCGTTGGGCCTTACACCGTCCAAGTTCATATACCCGAAGAGTTGGATCGCTTCTCGGACATGACCAAGTTGGGCATAGGCCGAGATCATGGTGCTCCAAGTCACCACGTCTTTCTCCACGATACCGTCAAACACCTGTCTCGCTTCGATCAGCCGGCTACACTTCCCGTACATCCCCACCAGCGCAGTTCCAACGATGAGGCCGACGTCCAGCTTCTTCCTTGCCGCCAGCCGGTGGATCATCTCGCCTTGCTCTACAGCCTCTGCGTTAGCACACGCATCCAAAACGCTGAGAAAAGTTACCTCGTTTGGCTCTACGCCTTCTTCCTCCATCTTCTGGAACAAAACCAGCGCTTGGTCGTGATCTCCTCTCTGGGCATATGCTGCAACCATGGTCGACCACGAGATAACGTTCCTGTGCGTCATGCTCTCGAAAAACTCTCTGGCCTCCTCCACACCCCCACACTTCCCATACATGTTGAGGAGAGAATTACCCACGAATTCCCCGCAGCACAGCCCCGTAGCTCGCATTCTCTCGTGCGCTCCCTTGCCCTGCGACAAGGAACGAGCATTGGTACAAGCACTAAGAACGCTGATGAAAGTCACAGTGTCGGGCTTGACGCCACTCAAATCCATGTACCTCAAGATCTGAAGAGCTCGATCGTTCTCGCCATTGTGGACGTGCGCTTGGATGAAAATACTCCACGAGAACACATTCCTCCTCTCCAGCCGCTCAAACGCCATTGCCGCGTCCTCCAAGCTCCCACACTTGCCATACATCTGGACGATGAGATTCCCCAGGAAGGTCTCGCGATCGTCGCCGCCGGCCTCGGCGATCGCGGAATGCAGGCGCCGTGCGTCGGGGAGCGATCGCGATGCAGCGCATTGCCGGATCTGTGCCGCGAACGCTGCCTTGTCGAAGGATTGAGAGCTCCTGCTACTGGAGGCGACGGCGATGGAGGGGACCTCCAGCGCCATCGCTCTCTTGCGGACTAAAACCCTAACCTACAAATTCCCGCATTTTTTCGAATTTTCGCGTGAATAATATCCCTCTTCTGAGGCTGTGGTTCTTCCACGCGCATATTCCCCCTTGTGCCAGCATCGTTCTAGGGTTCTTCACTGCGAGAGAAAGAGGATGGATCCACTCGCGCATTTCTAGGTAAGCGCTGCTCGGTTCTCGGAGCGCTGGAGCTGGCGATGGCGCTGCTAGATGGAACAGGCAGTTTCCTTCACCCGCACAGGCAGCAATCCAGAACGATTCTCACGAGAAAGACCCGGACGATCACCAGGATTCTAGTCGCGAGGCTCAATCCCACAGAAGATCGCAGGGATTCGCAGCGGCGGCAGCTAATTATCAATTCCTCTTCGTCCCGGCATGGGAGAATCGGGAAGAAGCTCTTGGCAATTCCTCCAGCCTTCTCGGCGCTAGGGGGAACAGGACTAGAAGGCCCGGAATCGGTCCTCCAGGCGGTGGGAGTTCTCACAGTGATCATCCTCGTTCACGAGGCCGGGCATTTCCTCGCGGCCAGGCTCCAAAACATCCATGTTAGCAAGTTCTCTATTGGATTTGGGCCGAAGCTGGCCACCTTCCAGAGAAAAGAGGTGGAGTACTCGATCCGGGCGATTCCGCTGGGCGGCTACGTGGGCTTCCCGGACGACAATCCAGACAGCGAGTTCTCGCCCGAGGATCCCGACTTGCTCAAGAACAGGCCCATCCTGGACAGAGTTCTCGTCATGTCCGCGGGCGTTTTCGCAAACATCGTCTTCGCCTACACGCTCCTCTTCACCCAGACGCTCACGGTGGGGCTCCTCCAGCAAAAGATCCTGCCGGGGGTCGTCGTCCCGGAGGTTTACGCGAGCTCGGCCGCAGCTAGAGCCGGGGTCCGGCCAGCCGACGTGATCCTCGCGCTCGACGGCCAGGAAGTCCGCAGTGACGAGCGCTCGGTAATGCAGATCGTGGACGTGATCAAGCAGCGGCCGGGAAAGAAGATCCAGATGCTGCTCCAGCGCAGAGGAGAGGCAGTGACCGTGGACATCTTCCCGGACAGGAGCAAGGATGGGTATGGAAGGATCGGCGTCCAGCTCTCGCCAAACATCCAGACCTTCCGGGTGAAGGCCAGAGATCTGGCGGACGCCACCGTGCAAGCTAGCCGCGAGTTTTGGAAGCTGGGCAGCAAAGTCGTGGAGGGATTGGCGCAGGTGGTGGTGAACTTCGCTCAAACAGCGGACAAAGTCTCGGGCCCGGTGGCCATTGTTGCGGTGGGGGCCGAGGTTGCGAGGTCGGACGTTGCAGGGCTGTTCCAGTTCGCAGCGCTGCTCAACTTGAATCTGGCAGTGGTGAATATCTTGCCACTCCCGGCGCTGGACGGAGGCTATCTGGCTTTGATCGCGCTAGAGGCGCTGAGGGGTGGGAAGAAGCTGCCCGACAAGATAGAACAGGGGATCATGTCGTCGGGGATCTTGCTCATACTCGCACTGGGGATTGTTCTTATGGTCCGTGACACGCTCAACCTTGGTCTCGTCCAAGGCTTGTGAGTTCCACTTTCCAACAAAGTTTATATATATATATATGAGGCTAGTGCAGTCGCTGTAGTCTACACTAGTCAACTGAGTTCACTCGTCTTCGTAAATGTTACTTTGATATGTGAATTTCACTTTATATTTCAAATTTTTTAAACAAATATGCAGGTATGTAAGAATTAACATAAAGGTATCATAAACAAATTTATATAATATGTTTTAGATGTTCAGTCTAAAATAATAATAAAAATTAATATATTAAATAAATAAATTATTTATTTTTAGTACATAATTTATTTTTTATTAGTTAAATATGTGGTTTTTTAATTCAGCAGTTTAAATGATATTTTTAAATTTAAAAGATTTCTACTAATCTCATCTCTTCTATGGCTAATTGCTAATTGTTAATTGCTATGCATTGCATATAACAATGTTTGGTTTGCTAAATAATAAGTGTTATTCTTACTTATTAATCCAATTGATCAAATAAAATTTATAATTATAAGCATGTTTGTAATTTATAAACACAAGATTATGTTTTGGTTTGCTTAAGTAAACGTGTAGGGGACTGAATGCTAGTAAATATGCCTGGAAATTCTAGGATATTCTACATCTAACATCTAACGGTTGTTATTCATTTAGATTAATCTTGTCTTTATAATTTATAAACATGTTTATAATTTATAAACTTTCTTAAACCCTTTCTAGTATATTCTTTTTTATTCTATCATCTAATGGTTGATATGCAATAAGATTTCTTTCTTAATAATAATGTTATTCCTTGTTTAGTATTATGTATTAATCAAATTGAAAGTTTATAATTATAAACATGTTTGCATATTATAAATACAAGATTAATCTAAATGAATAATGGTAGAATATAAGTGAATTAATTAATACATAAAATGGAACAAGGGAAATTTAAAATTAATATTAAAACTATTTTTTAGAAACTTCAAAGTATATATAAAAGCTATTTTATATCTCTTTTCATTGATGCCTTATATATTGATCAGTGGTATAAACCATGTCAACCAAACCAGTAACATTTATGAACATGAATGGAGTGGACTCCTGCTACTATATGGCCTCTCAGTCTGTGCCAGACTAATGCCAGTCTTGTAATGGCTATGTGGCAGGAAAGCTGGTTAATCGTTTGTCACTGAAATTTTCTATCAAACTTTGCACGAATTTTGTAGGCTTTGAACATAGCGATTATGGCAATGAGAAGTGCCATGTAGCCAACACGATAAACCTGGAAGAACAAATATCGTGTCCATGGGCAGCTTGACCAGACCAGTGGGTACGTAAACAGTGAGAGAAGTGTATGAATGCCTTGCTGCTCATGGCCACAAGGAACGATTTTGGGATGCATTAGTTCGTGCTACGTGACACATTTCTCTACAATTGAGTCGAGCAATTTCACAAGAACAAAAGTTAATAGAGATGTCATCGACTTTACCACGGAGTTGCGGTGGGAGCTGAGGTTGCGAGGTCAAATGTTGCGGGGCTGTTCCCGCTGCTCAACATGAATCTAGCAGTTGAATATCTTGCCGCTGCTGGCGCTGGATGGAGGCTACCTGTTTGATCGCGCTCGAGGCTGCCCGACAAGATAGAACCGGCCATCATGTCGTCGGGATCTTGCACTGGGGATGGTTCTTATGGTCTGGCACACACTCAACCTCTGGCCATAATAATATATTAATAAGTAGTTTCTTAAAGTAAAGTTAATATATATATTAATAAGTAGTTTCTTAATATATATATTGCAACTCCACAGTCAGTGACGAAGCTGCTGAAGATCACCTTGCTGCAGAAACCATCCGTGGCTGTTGCGTGACGAACGCTCTCGTAGATGATGTTTGTCATGATATAGTAGTTAAGTTTGCTAATCGTCGTTGGACCTCCCCGCGAGCTCCTCAGTGAGAATCTCGGCTCCTCGTCCGATGAAATTTTTTCGTGGTGGAAACTTTTGAGAACCTTGAGCTGCGCTCTCTTCTCCGTCATGGCAACGCTCACCGAACGATCTCCACACACACCTTCCTTGTGCCGTAAAATTCCCCAAGTTGTTTGTAACTGTCGTCCTTATGATCGTAAAAGAGGTGTACTGGTCCATCCTCCCGAGATGGAAACCCGGAAGTTGCTCTGTCCACTTTTCTTCTTCTACCACCAAACCATGTTGCAAGACGGCCAAGAAGATCCACTTGCTCGGCAGCCGGAGGAAAGGCTCCACTCGCCTTTTCAACTCCATCACGATCCTCCTCCCCACTTAAAAACATTGGCACTTCTTCCTGCACAGCTATGACAACGTCGAGATTCTCCTGTTCGTTGTGTTGGGAAGGAACTGGCACTTGATCATGGTTCGCTACTTCTTCCACAGCGGAAGCTGGAGCTTGATCACGCACAGCTATGACAACGTCCAGCTCGTTGATTCTGGAAGAAGCTGCTTCCTCCACAGCTGTTCCCTTCAAGCTCGATTCAGTAACCTCCAGATCTGCCACTTCTTTGATCATTTCTGAGTCACCACTTGTCACGGGCTTTTCATCCTGCTCCTCCCAGTTTTCCAGAGCATTCCCCGTGTTGCCAGCCGAATCTTCTTTCTCGAGAGGCTTGAAATGGATGTCGAGGGAGCGAGCACACCAATCCATCCATTGCCTCCTACGAGCGAGTGTTTCTTCTAAACCAGCGATAAACTCAGCTCCGAGTACGTCACCACCATTCTTGCTAGCGGGCTGAATCTCATGCCCAGGCTTGAATCTCGTGGCATCTGCAAAACAATTGAATAGTTACTGAATCAAATTCAGAATCAAGTTACCTTCTTGGATAGTAGAGGCGTGACCAGAAAAGCTGTTACAGCCATGTCTCATTCCTTTGAGATCTCCATCTCTCCAATCTTGCTTGTCCGGCTCGATCCACTCCCATAATGACGCAGGAACATGCTCGAAATCAAGCACCATCTTGGATTCCCTATTAATCGCACCTGCAGAACAATCGTAGCTAAGCTTTCTATCATGGAAAACTTTAGATTGTCGTACCTTTGTAATAATTCTCGAGCTCAGCGGTGTAGCCGTTGAAGAAGTCAATATGAGACTCCCTTCTCCTTCTCATCTTATCCTCGTCCATGATCGCAGGCTCGTGAACAAGCCAAGAAAAGTCTGACCTCCAAGCCTGGATCGAGTTTTCCTTGAGCTGCGCGTCGTAGTAGTCGATGTGATAAGCGTGGTACTTCACTCTCTTGCGGAGTCGAGACACTTCCATAGCAGATTCCCAGTCAAGATGGTCTCTCTTTTGGCGGCGTGGAAGGCCGAGGATTTGGCTGCGAGGAACTTGGTCACTCTCCACCATCTCGACTTCCAGAGGCTGAGATTTCCTCTCCTTTGCATCTGAAAGAACCACCATCCTATCGTCACTATCAAGATTCCTGGGAGTCCTGACAAGTTGATCCCCCTCAATCTGGTCACCTGTAAACGAATGACATGTGAGTTCTAACATATCCCTGCAGAGAGTGATCATACCTTCGATAAAGATGATGCATTCTTCACTTGACTTCTCAACTTCCTCCACAGCTGTTGCCTTCAAGCTAACCTCAGCAACGTCCAGATCTGCCAATGAGTCTCTGTGTGAACTTGTCACGAGCGTTTCTTCTTCTTCATGATCCGACTCATCCTGCTCCCCGCACTTTTCCAGAGCACTATTTGTGTTGCCAGAGTCTCCTTCCTCAAGAAGCTTGAAATGGATGTTGAGGGAGCGAGCGCACCGATCAATCCATTGCCTCCGACGAGCAAGGGTTTCTTCTAAACCAGCGATAAACTCAGCTCCGAGTACGTCACCACCATTCTTGCCAGCGGGCTGAATCTCATGGCCAGGCTTGAATCTCGTGGCATCTGCAAAACAATTGAATGGTTACTGAATCAAATTCAGAATCACATTACCTTGTTCGATAGTAGAAGCCTGACCAAAGAAGCTGTTTACATCCACCTCGTGCTCAACCTCGGCAACACCTCCGATCCTCTCGTCTTCCTCGCGCACAAGCAAGATGACGGCTCCCTTGTCTGTGCCCGTGTTTAGGGGCATAATCGCACGGGATTTGCGGCCGTGCCTCCACAAAAGACCCCACCACAGCGCCATACCCAAGACAAGTAGTCCGATGATCAAAATCGTTGTCTCCACGCTCACCATAGCGGCGCCCACCATTCTTACTTCCATCAGCCCTATTATTTTTTAGTTAGCCCTATTTCGTTTAGCATTTTTTATGTGATATTTGTAAATACTTTTCTGATACTTCGTTCGCAAAAAGGTGGCGGCATAGCATCTTCAATTTAGCAAGTGTCTTTTCGAAGCATGCTTTGAGATTAGTAGAGATTGCTATGTCTATACAGCATGTACAACCTAGCAAGTTGGTGCAACAAAATTGATTCACATGTCCAACTTAGGCTATTCTCCTTCCTCTCACTTTTGCTGCTCTTGAGCTCATCCAACTTGCCAATTAGGGGCTTTCCTGCAGTCAAATTTCTGCCCACCAACTCATAACACCAAAGAAAGGCCATGCACAAATTTTTCAGTGAATCTTTCCTACTTTTAACTTCTCGGATGTGGCTTCTAACCCTCTCTCGTACTGCTCTATTCCCAAACGTGCTTGGACTGGTTTGCAGCTGTTTTCAATACACACCAAGATTCTCTAACTCAGTTCCCCCAAGAAAGTGACGAGCTCTTCCTTGCACTAGGACTTGCTTCTGGCTACCCTAACTTAGAGAACTCTCTCATAACTTCTAAACACTGAACATCATTGTGTTTTTACAACCAATCACAAACAACTCCAAGCTTCCCTCTTTACAACATTACCAAAATGGGACAAGGTTAGAATTCTCTCTAAACACACCATTATAACTTCTTTCAAGGTTATGAACACCACTAGATTGCAGCTGTTCACAAGCTACAAAAGTATTCTTCTCAAATAACACTTTTTTCTTTCTAAAGAAGATATAAACTTATTCCTATGACTAAAGGGTTGTGATTGTCATAAAGGTGAGTTCCAGCTAGCTTTTATCACTCCATTCTCACCCTTTTATCCTTCATAGATAAGATTTTCGCAATGTTTATGCCATCTCCTAGAATTTTGGATTATTGTTTCAAACTTCTTTGTTTCATTAGTAATCTTTCTGAACTTATCCAAACTCCCCAATTGCCTCACTCATGATTCTCCTATTGCAATCCCAAAGATTCCTTAAATCTCTTGATACTACCATCTGCCATATGGATTAAATGGCATTTCCCTTTCTTTAGTACATACACAAACTCGTGATCAAAGAGGTAGATAGGGCAGTGATATAAATTAGAGGTGGTGGAGCTATAACACATGCAAGGGATTCCTAGATCTTCTTAGAGTTAGAGAATAAGTGGGAAGTAATGGGAGTAATATCTAGGTTGGGCCCTTAGGGTTCTGGTATTTCCTGGAGTGGCACATTGTGAGCATTTTGAGTGTGGTTTGGATTAGAGTGGGCTTATGTCTATTCTGTGGGTATGGGTTTTTTTCTTTGAACAACAAATGTGTTTCCAAGTACCTTGGAGTGACTATTATGGCTTGAGTGATGAGTTTGTTCCTTGGTATTAAAGGGATTGTGTGATGATTCGGTAGTAGAATATTCTTTTTAATTGATGCATATATTAGGAAAAATTGAAAACCCCAAAGAGAATTGGAGTGTAAGTTTTCTTTGTTGATCTCTAACCTCATATTGTTATGGCATTTTCTTATAAAAAGATGGCTGGTGATTTAGGATAGAGTGAATCTTCTATAAAGCCCAAGAAGCAAAGTTGGACTGACATTGTTAAAGAAAAGGAGAGTGCCACAAGGAAAGACACTATTGGTAGCATCTCTAGCCAATGCCAAGGGAAAAGATGTTCAAGAGGGTGGTGTGATTATACATAAAGTTTAAGAGTGATGAGGGCAAACAAGATCAAGAAAAAGGAAGGAACGAGTTTTCATTGAACAAGAGATTCTGAAAGAGGAGCATGGCAAGGGTTTGGGTAGTGAAGTGGTAGTGACCAACCTTTTTAAAGTGACTTAATGTCTTTGTATTGAGGGGGATTTTTTTTCTTACACAGACATAGAGGATCCTTGTTATTCTTTGGAGGAGTTCAAGGTCAATATAGCACTTTCAACATGCCTGAGGTTCCTTTTAGTTGCACTATTAGATGATAAAATAAATCCTCTCATGCAAAATCTAAGAGTGTTGGTGGATTCCTATAGTTGGGTTGAGAATCTTTGCGATCCCCACCACAAAGTGATTTGGTAAGTTCAAGAAGTGAAGGAGAGTAAGGTGGCTACCATCCAAGATCAATATGTAGCAATTTTGGAGCACTAGAAATATCACATAAGTTGATGTTGATGCAAAAGAAGAGGAGATGCCTTAAGGTTATCCTGATGCAATGATTGAGGAACTAATGTTGTGGTCAAGTTGATGGAAGACTATATTAAATAGGTATTTTAGTGTCTATTAAGCCAAGGACTTGCATAGCTTATAACAACATATTTGGTCCTCATATTCTGACAATTCCCCACCTAAAAGATTCAAATCTTTTAGAGAATGCCTAACTTAAAATAGAAAAATTCAAGCATCTCATAGAAGTTTAAACTTCTAGCTTTCAAGGGAGATGGTCTTATTAATGAGAATTAAAATTGTGTTCACAACCAAAGAAGTAAATAAATGGACTAATTATGGCACTTTACTTTAACCACTGATCAAAGGTTGACTAGAGTTTGGTGGAACTCTAATAAAGAAGAATTCCTTACATATCTATAGGGATTTGCAATAGGCTTATTCATGAAATAATGTCTTTTATAAATTTTTTTTATCTCTTTATTTTCAACATTCTTATGCTTTGAGTTGACTTTTAATATAACTTGGACATTCACTAGTGACAAATTACTAACTATAATAGTATTTTACAAGGGCCTCAAAAATAATCTTCAGATCAAACGTTAGCTGCACCAATTTTGGTCATACAATACAACCTTGGTTAGTTAATTTTCTTCTAAAAGATGTAAGTTGATGATCTACCTTTGTGAGCTAACTCTTCAACTCTTATGTCAATAGTAATGTAAGATTCTTCATGTCAATCTGCATATCATCCTCCAAACTACTCCCTAAATGCTCCATTATTTTCCTTGGAAGATTCATTGTTAGGAATCTTAATCATATCATCAAAATAGTTCTCTTGAGTCTTGAATTGACATGCTTGTGGTGGTGGACAATACAACGAGTGCTTTAAGTGTGATTGTGACTATTAAGCTCAAGATTGTCTAACCAACCAGCAGCATCTAGCTATAAATCATGCTATATATGTCAAAGAAAGTATTATAAAGTTAACTGTCACAACAAGAGGTTCATTTGAAGGATCTTTAGAACTAGATAACAAAGATCTAAACAAGTATCATTAGAACATTTAAGACCAAAGAAAAAAAAGGGAGAGAAAAGATGAGGAAAATTGGTAGAGCTTCAAAACTTATTAAGAATGTAAATATTTAGAAGCCAGGGTGTATAGATGAGAATATAGTGGAGATAATAAGGGATCATTTACAAGTAATAACACAGTTTTGCAATGGAGATTCTTAAGAGGGATTGTGTAGAGGCTACTAAGATATGGTGTTAGAGATTCCAGAGGAGAATCTACTTATTTGTGAGGATGCAATTAGCTAAATGGGGGCAAGTGTTCTTTAATGTGGTGCATTACAGTGAGGTGCCATGCATTATCGAATGACAAAGAGGATGCCAACAAGGTATCCTTGAATGGGAGAACTATGAACAAGAACCAAGTTGTGTCTACTAAAGTAAACACTTGTACTTTAGAGATAGAATATAGTGGAAGAAATCCCAATGAAAGAGTCTAAACAATTGCTAGTTAAGGCTGTATGATAATAAAGATTCCAAAATATTGTATTTAGGAGGAAAATATAATGTCTAGATTATAGAAGGGAATTCTATTAAAGGATATAGCTCTAGTGGTGCTGAAAGTAAGTCTTTGAGGCACTAGTGAGGGAGATCTGTAATAGAGATGGATTGTATTTGAGCAGTAAAAAGATATGGTGTGGTTGATAAGTGGTGGCCAACAAGATAGTACTAGATCATAAGATTTTGGATAGGAATCCTCTTGTTGTGAGAAAAATAGAAGTGTGTAAGTAGAAATTCTAGAAGAGAATCCATTTATTTGTGAGGATGCAAGTTAAATTTGCATCCTAGTTGGGGGCAAAGACTATATAACTATACTACACAAACTTGTGAATGATCAAACTTTTGATCAAAGAAGGTAGCTAAGGGCTTGTGAGGTGGTAGAGCTACAGTGCATGTAAAGGTTGAGAATGTCAAATTTGGGAAAATAAGAGTGGGAAGCAACAGGGAGTAAGGGTTAGAATAAGCTTTCAAAATTTTGTGTTCATGCACTTTGTGGGCATTTTGAGTGTGGTCTGGATTGGAGTGTGTTTGTATTTGTTCTTGGATATTGGTTCTTTTTATGAACATCAAATGTTTCTATCAATGTCTTAAATACTTCAGGATGAGTGGGAGATTTGTGTTGGCATTTGCAGTATGTTATGAGGTTGGGTCACGTATGTGTATTTGTTTCATGTAGTGAGTTCACCATTGGCAATAAAAAAACCAAGCTGTGTAGGCAAGAGATCAAAGAAGCATTGCCGGGCTGACATTCCATGTCACTTGGCTTGAGTGAGAGTTTGTTCAATATGCTTTTTAGGATGGTATATGCTATCTAAAGTCCATTATTAAGTTCTACAAGGTGGGTCTTGGGGTGCTCGCAGAGGCATGGAGAACCAGCCAAAACAATGTTGTAAGGGATCAAATTCAAGGTGGCAGCAGATCTCCAGAATGGCAAATGCTGGAAGTAATGCAATTGAGAGGAGTAGGTGTAAGAGGCAAAGAAAGTAGACCGAGAAGGTCCACCCCATCCCCTCTGGGGAATCCCATGTTTCAAGGCATTTACCATGATTCTTTAGACTTAGATCATGGAATGTCCTCTAGAGAGAATCTCATGGCCATGAGCTTGTGTAAGAGCATCCCACAGCCGGCTAGTGGCAACATAGTGGCCATGGGACTGTCGTCTTCAATGTGAACGTGTTCTCTCGTGTTTCTCTTGGAGAGTTTTATGGCAGTGGCTTCTGGGTGCGTGGGGATCAACCCCATGAGATTCGTTATGATCTACAGTTATTCTGGAGCTCTTCCAGTGCGTGGAGAGTGGCTGGGCGCAGAGGCCTGCAGATAACCGCAAAGGGAATTCATGCGAGTTGGGCGCCTGCCAGACAGGCGGCCCAAGAGCAGAGGAGGCTATGGGGACGAGTTCGACTGTTCTACTCTATTGGATGGTACAAGCGATCGCTGCCAACTAGAAAACATTAATTTAACTGCTATATCAGATCTCTCGCAATGGCATCACAAACCAGAGCGGCCATGTCGTGGTTGATGTTCTTCACGCAAATGGTTGATCTGCTCGGAAGAGCAGGATGGCGCTGTGAAGCACGCCTGGAGAGCCTTCTTCCGAAACCTGGATGTCTTTACTTGGTTACATGTAAGCTGCAGAGCGTGTCAAAAGTCTGTGATGCGGCAGGAAAGCTGGTTGCTCCACCGGATAATCGTTTGTCACCTTGACCTCAGCTGAAATTTGCTTGTACTACCAAAACTTCGCTCGAATTTTGTAGACTTTGAACATAGCGACTATGGCAACAAGAAGTGCCATGTAGCCAACCACGATGACAACCGAAAGGCCTGGAAGAACAAATATCGTGTCCATGGACAGGTTCACCAGACCAGTGAGTACGTTTGCCTGTAACGAACAGTGAGAGAGAGAGAGAGAGGTGTATGAAAGTATTGCTTGCTGCTCACCACTAAGAATGTCAATAACATATTGTCGTCGACGGCCTCTACAAGGACGAGTTTTGATGAGAGAAACGCTTCTGCCGAGGCAAAGATGGCCATAACCTGTCAACAATGTATGCGTTAGAGCCTATATGCTGCAAAAATATATTGGTGAAATGGTAAGATACCTCTAAGTTTTGGGCGAGGACAAACATCACGTACGCCATGTTACACTGGCCACAAAGAAGGATTTTGAGATGCATTAGCAAACCATGGAGTATACCGTGCGGCGTGAAACGTTCTCTACGATTGAGTCAAGCACCACAACCAAAAGCCTGCACAAAAACAAGAGTTACTAGCGAGGTATTAGCAAAGATAGACTTCACCACAGAGCCCCATCAAGAAGCCAAAGCTCCGCTATGCTTAGCCAGTGGCTGTTTTCATTTGAGGACGAAGCGATCCATTTCAAGAAGCCTCCCGGATTGAAAAATATGTGTTGTCCAAGATGGACAGACAGGAAGTACAAGCTCCAGTATCCTGATATCAGCAGCATCAGAAGAGTTCCAGAAAGCGAGTTCTTTACCAAAGATGCTGAAAATGCCTTCTTTGTTCAAATCAACAAGTCCGGAACTCCTGTGCGGGGAAAGAATGTAATCTTTTAAACCGCAGAGAAGGGTGAACTGATGCACTGACATAAGAGTGTTAAAACAAACGACACATTCCACCAAAACTAGCGACCAACCTGACAGTATGCCAAGTCCAAGATATCCACAATACGAAACAGGCATGCGAATTACTGAAGTAAGAAGAGAAACAGCCGCCAAAGTGAAGAAAAAGTTCCAGTGTACGCCATATTCCCCTACGTGAACCTGAACAAACCAATAAGTTTCACCATTTGCAATTGAGTCACAAAGAAAAACCTGATAATCTGCTCCTTTCGTCGCTATAAGTCTCACAAAACCCAGAGCCAGCAATGGACTCACGCTTTTAAGAATGTCCACGGTTCTAGTCCTTCTGAAACAGGAAACAAAGAAAGAAAAGGAGGTTTTTACATGACGTCTACAACGAGAAAGGTTACGTACAGAAGTTCTCGACTTCTTGCTTGTCTGGAGACTATAGCATTCGCAGCAACAAACGATCCAACGCCTAGATCCATCTGGGAAACTTTCACTATCCATCAAACGAAGATCCGTCGACTCACCAAGCCAGTGCCATAAGTCTCGGTCTTGGCATATCTGCGAGGAAAAGCAGTGAAGTCCACAGCCAGGATTGTAACGCAAGTAACCAGCATCTGCAAGTTTAGGAGCATAAGTTGCGGTCAAACGAGCCAAAACACGTACCATAACAAATCTATAGTATGTCAAGAACGGCCTTTTGAATGGAATAGAAGAGGACTTTAGTTTTTCTCGCTCCAGAAATGGCAGGAAACTACTCATTCCCAAGAGAATGGAAACGAGAAGCGCGATTCCATAAACTTTGTCCGCAAGCACCTGTTAAGAAAGAAGATCTCGTGAGAAAACGATCACTACAACCACGGATCTTACCGTGAGGCTCAAGACGGTAGGAAGAACAATGAAAGTAAAATCCAAAGCGAGGCATGTCCAAAAACCCTTTTGTGGCAAGATTGCAAAGCTCCGGAGAATAACAAGGGCCTGCAATCATTCTTCCACCAGAGCTTCATCTCACAAGGAAACAGAAGAAACAAAGATGTAGGTACCGGTATGAGCGCCGAGAGTGCCGCAATCTCGATCTTGGAAGAGCCTTGCAAGTTGCTCACAAACCTGAGGAAGATATCACGCTTGGAATGATCAAAGGCGAGGGAAACCGAGGCGCGCTTACTCTTCTTTCAAATGCTTGTTTGGATTGAGCTGCCCCATCGTCGAATCCACGAATTCACGCTCTCTCACATCGCCGAATTATAACCTAATTTTAAGACGCTTGAGTTGACCAAGTTGACTTCTATTGACTTAGATTGACTTCGCTTAAATCGAAATCAAGCAGTGAATTATAGGAAAAAAACTATTACAACGCTAGTAAATTATTACATTGATAACACGTTATATTTGTGAAAGCCAAAAATCACAATCTCATAGAAAGAAGAAAAATCCAGGGCTGAGAACTATACGCTAGAAAATGTTTACAGTCACAACAGGGAGGGTCATTTCCTGAAGTGGAAGTTAACAACCGACGCTTGGAGGAACGATTGCTGAATCGATATAGCAAACGGAAAAATTGGATGGAACACGAACGCAGCAACTCGCTTGATCCGAGTCTCGTTGGCACCATTCTCTGGACCTGCAAGTTTTTTTATTGCGAGCGTTAGAATGACTCACTTCTTGCGTTGCTTGGAGAAAATAGCGTACCTGGATTGATCTTGAACTTCAGAATGTGTGGTCTCCTTCGAGATAGGAACTTGATAGGATGCTCCATGGACGGCTTGTGTCGATCAGTAGCAGAGATAAGCTGTCCATGAAGGCTGTGTGAGTGTAGTGGAGAAGCAGCACGAAAAAAGAAAAATAGCCCTTACCTTCTCATCAAAATGGAAGAGTGAATGGTCGAAATACACAGAAGGGCTTTGGGACTGAGAGTTTACTGGCAACGATGCAAGTGTACGCCTAGCAATCTGAGAGAAAAGGCAGTGGTTTACAGAAAAAGACGTAGCTTACGTGTGCGAAGCTGTTCGCTTTGTTGCTGGCTTTGGTATTGATGCAGGCTACTTTTTGCTCACGGCTTTGCTCTCGCACAAACACGTTGTTTGAAAACGATGTCACGTAGTTCATGTACACGGGGTAGCGTTGTGCGGAGCGAAAGTGATCCGCGAAGTTCTCAAACAGCTGGAGCAATTCTTGGGAAGAGTTCTGCAAGAAAAAGACCTCAGATCAACAGCACAAAATGGTCTCTCGATCTAAGCTACCTGTTGGAACTCCAAAATCTCCGTAGTCTCAAAGTTGTATACCACGAAAAATGCAAGCTGCTGAGAAACATCACAGCTCCGAGAAATCTGCACAAGAAACAAGCTAACACATCACATTCCTTCTAATGACACGAGCAAAAGATACGGACCACTCCATCCGCACTGCCAAACTTAATCAGCAAATGGTAGCGGTCCAAGAATTGCACCTGCTAAACGGGATAAAAAATGGAAATAATGGCAGCCAGTGTTTTACCTTCCACATCACCAGCTCCGTGTAATGCTGAAAGTGGTAGTAAAAACGTTTCAAGCGTTGCGCTCGCTGCAAAGTCACCTTCAACTCAAACTCAGCCAAATCTCAGCAAGTAAAAATACCTGGACATGATCGTCGTCATGCTCAAGAATACTTCGGAATATAAAAGAAAGGAGCCGCTGTTTAATACCGCCCAGCACCGGCGGTCCTGTTTCGGATGATGAATTGGATTGCTCTCGACCAGACCTTGCGTTACTTTCACTTAGACTTCTAGGAACAGCTCTCGGCAAACTGTGAACAACGTCATTCCTGCTGCTGGTGACAGGCGTGGAAACATTTGTAGTCGTAGCTTCAATGCTGCTGCTATGATGATCCCGTGAGTGAGCATACGCCGGCTCCCAAATATTTCTACCTCCACTTACGTGCCTGCTTCCACTCGAGGAGACAGGAGTCACATTTTGGCCAGCTTCTCCCGTTGTTCCCAAAGTTAATCCAGATGAGTCGTCAACATGACCAAGCTCACTTCTAGCTTCAAAATCTTGCTGGTGTGGTGTCCTGCTACTCAGGACGAAATCCGTCCGTCTCTGCGCGTTTGCATTGTTGACGCTGCTCTGCTGGTTCTGGTCGCCGTGACGAGCACCCGTCATGTCATAGGATAATATCAAAGGTGTATAAGCTGTATAAGTCATTGGCAACTCGGTGACGCCTTGAGAAGATGTGCCAGCCCCAGAAGAAGAGGCACCAAGCAGCCCCCTGAAATAGCACTCGAAATCGGATCCGACGGGAATGTGGCTGGAGTCATGATCATTATAGTTCCTTGAGTTCCTGTCGTCGCGAAGGATCTTGGAATCCTTCTCCAAGCTGGTTCTCGACTCCGTAGTCTCGTCCTCTTTATGTAGGACAGCTTGTGTGCTCTGATACCATGCTTCTTTCTGCAACACATTGTTTGTTTTAAGATTTACAAAGCAGATGACTCCTAGCTAACTTACTTGAGTTTGAGAACTGATGAGAAGCTCGTCATCTTCCTGGCAAAAGTCGCCAACACTTCGAACATCTACAAAAGTGCCAGAATCTCTTATCTGCAGGATGTGAACGCATTGGAATCGAACCGAAAGAATCGCCAAAAGATCCTCATACATGAACACCCCCATGTTGTGAGATAAGTGGATGAAATCGTCATGATAGATACGATCATCCGTGATAATACCATCCGCTAATCTGGAAAGAAACCAACACAAAAGTTATCAATTGCATCGTTTACGTTTCCATTTGCAAGCTCACCTCACAGCCAGAATTTTTATTTTCTCAATCGATGGCACGCCTGGAACGGCTCCTTGAACCGAAGCTGCATCAGCGTCAGGGCCCGTAGATGTTGCGAACAGTCCATAGACTCCATTCTCCGTCGTCAAGAAAAAATCCTTACAAATAGTCTCGGTTCCCGTGGCCAAAGCAACACAATAAAGCTCTGTGAAGAAGCTCTCGAACTTTGCTGCTTTCGGAGGGAGCTCGGCATCTTCAGCTTCACCTTTGACGCAAAAATTCAACCAGTTGAAACGATAAACCACCAGGTGCTGGAAGCTTCGAGTGAAAGCTATCAAGTACTGGCCATCGTTGGTGAATTTGCGGAATGTATGATCGGGACACTCCACATCGTAGACAGTATGACTTGGTACAATATTCTCGTACAAAGTCCTCACCGTTTGCAACTGCGAAGAAGAATAGAAGGAAGTACAGTATCCCTGTTTCCTTGCATCATACCTGAGAGCCAGAAGGTTTGCAACTTAGTTGTCGATTGAACAGCCTGTGAGTGATATTCTCACTCCGTTTCACCATTCGAGCCGGAAAGAGAAGCCTCTTTACAAGGACTTCTGCTGAGAAGAACGAGGCGGGAGGGAAAATGAAGAGCGGCTGCCATACCCATAAAAGAGAAGATCTCGCCGCTGGAGCCTCAACTCGCTGTTCATAACAAGCTACTCATAGCGATAGCAATGCTTTCCTGTCACAAGACGGAAAAACAATCAGCAATGCAGAAAACCCAAGAACCACGGCACAACTGGAGAAGAGGCACGGATCACAGGCACATGAGAATACGGTGGAGGCGAAAAGAGGAGAATGCTGTTGCCCACCTGATTCCACGCTGCTGGCCTTGATATCTCTCTTTCTTCCAGCCCTCTCTCTCTTCTCTGTGGTGGATGTAGACCCTTGAATTGATAGCCTCTAGAATGGCATCTTTTGGGCGGAGGGGATAGAAGGCTACCGGAAAAGAGCTCTTTTCCTCCTCCCTCCTCCCTTTTAGATCTACAAAGCAATCTACAGCACAAAAACCCCGTAAATAAAAAAAAAGGAAAGAGGAGTGTACGGATTTTTTTTGTTCTCCTAAGATCACCTTGCAAAGATGTCGTCTCAAGTTCACTGGCTGCAATGAGCCATCCATCTGTATGTGACGGAAAGGTTAAGCCACCGCTTTCTTTCTAAACATAGACGAGGAAACCCACCATTCGTTTTTTGACTTGTCTTCGCCAAGTTGTATCATATCAGATGTTACGTATCAAGCGCTGCGAATTTTCAGTGATCACAAATGCCAGCTTTCAACGAACAAAGGCACAACTTACCCAAACAGAAGGCTTGTCTTTGTCTTTTCCTGGAATACAGAAGGAACAGTCTGCGTGCTGCTACATTACGGACAAAGATGAGAAGAAAACCAACCAGAAGCGGTGAAATCTCACCACGAAAGCTAGATTTACACAAAGCTGGAATATGCATTTGGTACTCCCGTGGACAGCGACGGAGACATTGCATTTACACCCTTGACCATCCTGCCCCCACAGCACAGAAAGCACGTTTCACAAAAAACCGCAAGCTTACAAACCAAGAAATATACGTGCCTGCAGCTTGCCTGCAGCTGTCATGGGGACTGGCCCTTGTACATAACTCCGCAACCGATGGAACAACGTCCGCGTCTCTGCGAGAAAACACAATTAGCCTCTCCCCCTCGCTTTGCGTCTCAACAGGGAGGAGCGACTTACTGCTTGCTTAGTAACAGATGGCGGTCTCAATCGGCCCTGCAAAAGGTAGGAAGACGATGAGAAATGGAAAGAAAAAGCTCATAAAAGCACGTTACAATCTCTCGCCGTAAAAGGGACTCCTCTCTTTGCCGAGAAAACAAGCAACAGAATCTAAGCCACTGGACAGCCACACGTTGAACAAAAGATTCACAACCATCTACGTGTTCCGCTACCATCCATGAGAAACTCATTTGACACTCTCTGCCAAAAGCCACACCCAACCGATCCAATCCAATCCAATGGAGTCCGACCATCCTGTACACCGACCAGCAGTAGACTCTACGGGCTAAGTGAAAAAGATATCCACCTGGAATATAAGACCACCGCTCTCGCCTTTAATCCAGACGTGTAGCGCCCACCAAACCACCAAAAGCTTGAGCGCCCTTGAATAGATAAGGTGACTTGGTACCATTACCACCAAGCGCTCCTGACTGGCACTGTTCACAAGCACAGCTAACGTTTAGCTCCACGAAAAAAAAAACAAAACGAGTGACTACAGAAGTCTCACCGTTGCAAACGCCAGTGAATTGGTGGCCCTGCACTCGAACGTCATCGCGCGCACTGGACAGAAAAAGAAGTGCTTTCGGAACATTATCGGTTAAGTAAGCCAAAAGAGAGAAACAAACTGTCATAAAAAAACAGATGTCTTACAAGCTTGGCTGTTTCATTTGCTAATATGCGATTCCATGGTCTCCAATGCCCCGAGAATCGCTGCCACCTGAGATCAAAACAAAAGCAAACCTCTTGAGCAAGAAGTTGAAAAAGACAGATTTGTTTTAGACCGGCATAGCGCTCCAAGGTAAAGACCGAGAAGACGGCGGCTCTAAGAAGATTTAAAACGCTACCCCTGTAGAAACAACCTTCGCTATTGGAAAGGCATGCCACTAGTCAAAGGTACCTGTGAGCAAAACGTTAGCGAGAGCATAAAAACAAGAGCTTCTTGCCTTTTGGTTTGCCCCGGCTTTCCTGAAGAGAGCAAAGACGAAACATGATAGGCCGATCCACCGCGAAATGAAGCACAAGAACACCTCAAACAAGGAAAACATGAGTGTTTTCGTCGATAACGAGAAGCTGACGATCGTTTGATCTAGAAACGAAGAACTCGATCACAGTGAGAATCACTTAAGGACCTAGATGTCTAGAAGTGCTGGGAATCACGGCTACGATTACACGCCAAGCAAGACAATGCCGCTTACCCCAAGCTCTGCCCGATTTCTCCTGCGATTCCTTCGATCGATGCGCTTGGTTTGATCGCTACGCTTGCAGACAGGTGCTGGCGATCAAGCGGAGTCCATCGCGGCAGCTCCTAGAGATCGAAGGCGCAAGACGCTTACCCTAGACCTTCTTCTTTAAACCCTTACATGTTTTAAAACCCTTTAGTAAAGCACATAGATTCGTGTTTCCTTTCTCTGTGGCGATCGAATCAGATCGTGGTCGCTGCTAGGATTGTGCGATTCGACTCCTCGAGAACTTCCAGCTTCTTCTGGAGCCTCTCTCGCTTGTACTGGAGATGCGTGTCCTCGGCCATGAGCTCCATCGACTTGTCCCGCGACGCAAAGCTCTTCATCACCACCGTCTCAAACTCCTCGATCAGCGACTTGTCCAGCGAGTACCGCAGATGCATTGGAACCTCGTCGCAAATCCTGTTCTTGATCACCTCCATGTACGAATCCAAGCTGTTCTTCATCTCCCTCATCGTAGAGCTGGAGGATTTGGAGTACATCCTGTTCTTGGACAACTCGCAAGAATCCATCTCCGATACCGCCAAGAGCTGCTTCTTCTCGACCAGCTCCATGTACTTTGGATTGAGAGTGAAGGTGATGGTGGTCTCCTTCTCGAGCTTGTCCTGGACGAACTCCTTGCACGCCGACTGGGATTTTTCGAGCACGCCTTGCATGTTCTTCTTGAGCAGTGCCTGGAGCTTCGGGTACCCCTCGGTTTTCTTGCTGATCACTGGCATCACCACCTGGGCTGCGTAGTTGTGAACCTCGTCAACCGTGGCAATGCTCGGCTCATGGAACTCCTTCACGTTGTAGGCCACCATTTGCTTGAGCACCGATGACTGGAGAATGTTTGGCAGCGTCACGCCTTTGGCCTCGTGAAGGAGCTCCTCCAGCTTTCCCTGTGACCCGGAGCTTGAAGAGTCTTCGTCTCCATTAGAACGGATCTGGCTGGAGAGCTTGACGAAATACTCGTGGAGCCGAGCAGCGTAGTTCATCTGCTTGTCGTCGGGAAACTCGGGTAGAGAATCACCAGCGAGAAGCCTCTCGAGTGACCTCCGGATGCTCTGGTAGCAGTCCATGGCCAGAGGCAGCGCCGACTCGGAGTCTGCTACGCGCTGAGGGAGAGCATCCAGGTCTCTCCTCACGGCGGTCAGTGCACTCCGGATGTTCCCCACGAGTTTCGGTAAGTTCTTCCGCAAGCTATCGGCTTGGAACTCTGTCAACCGCTTCGCAAGTTGACGGATGCCCAGCATGCTCTCGGGTAAGTCTCTGAGATGAGGATCAGTCCGAAAGAGCTCGGCTTCCTTGTCTCTGCCTTCCTCATGAGTTTCATCACCTATCCTGTTTCGGACACATATGTATCCCAAGCCGATGCCGACTACGTCCGCCATCACCTTCTCCTTCAAATCCTTCGGCGACATATCCACTTTGGTGACGACGGCCATAGTCCTTTCACCCTCCCTGTCAACCTGCCTTGACATGAGAATCGATTCGCAAGTTGGGAAATCCACCGTCGAGCAGATGACGTTGAGGATAATTGTTTCCTTCGGAGAAATGTATTCCTGTATGATCTTCTTTATCTGCTCCTGGATGTCCTCGGGTTGGCCATGGACGGGAACTCTGGTGATGCCAGGAAGATCGATCATTGTCAAGTCAGGAGCACCCGGCTTGGTTATGTGCAGCGATATCGGCTTGTTGACAATGTGCTTGTCTCCGGCAAGCTCGATAGTAGCTTCCACAACTGCCGCAGAGATCTCAGCTTCCTCGATAACCCGCTTCTTCCCACCGTACTGAATAACTACCTGGTGAGACTGATCAGTGCCGGAGGTATTTTGAAGCCGCAGGACTAGAGGCACTCGCGTCACGACGCCTTGGCCGCGAGGTAAGTCCACCTGAGCGAGTGACTCCAGGACGCTGCTCTTGCCACTCGACTGGTCCCCGACAACAACTATAGTTGGAAGCTTGATACCTTCCTCCGCGACGGAGAGCTGCCTCAGCGTGTCGACAGCATCCAGTAAAGGACGAACATTCTCGTTGAACGGTGTCTGCAATGCGCATTCCTCTGGTGTCCGCCTGCTTCTATACCTTTCCATGATAGCCATTCTGTCGGGAGCGATTGGCGACGAGATGCTTTCCTGCAATACAAACTTCGAAAACGAAAACTTGGATATATCACTTACCCAGTTTGACAACGCAGAGCTCACTGCACTTCCAAGTCGCCTCATCGGTAACAAAGAAAGTCTGACTATCACCGAATCTCCGAACTCTTTATCCTCCTCAAAACAATCAGTGATCCTCGAAGGATGTCAAGATATTAATAGATACATCCGTCCAGAATTAAAACCGCCGAACCGATTTTCTAGCATGAACAAGACGTGACTGCTTGAAATGACATGCATTGCAGAAGAACGTGAAGACACGCTGCAAGCATACACGCAAATACAGAAGGGAAGTATGTACCTCGCAGTAGTCTTAGTAGCGGAGCCTAACAAGTGTTGACACCATCTTTGCAGTCGCTCGTCAAATGCCCAAACGTCTCAATGCGCTTCTTTGCACGTAGAAAAACCTCCGAGTCCACCTCCGCTCTCATGTAGCCATCGAACTCCACTCGCTTGTTCCTTGTGAGAAGCATTGTTTGGTTGTACCAAAGGCTGTGCGGACCCCAAAGGCTCTTAAAATCGCTGAGTAAGTGTACTCGGTACTTGGCCCGCAGCTTATCGAAGTAGCCTTCGAGCCTCTCGTTGGTGGCTATATACAAAGTCCGGCCCTCCTCTACTTCCTTTTCTAGCTTCTCCATTATCGCCTCCGGCATTGTATCCCTGTCCAAGTTCGGCCACCGCTCCTTGTCCTCGGCTTTTTTTCCTCTGACAACGTGAACAGCATCGAAGTCCCATTCCATTTCCCCGCAGATTGAGTTGACCATGTTCATCAGCCGCTTGGATTTCCACAGGAGATCCCACGGCCTGTGGATAACTTTCTCTGGCTCCCCTTCACAAACTCGATACCAGTAGTTGTTTGGCTCGGGCTGCTCGAATTTTCTCCAGAGTATAGTGTTCTCAAAGCTGCGTAAGTGCATCGGAGTGACGTTAAAATCCTCCACCACCCTGTAGCTCAGGGGGTGCTGCGGATGCTTCTTGTTCCAGTTCAGCCACCTTTTTAGGAACTGCTTCTGCTCGACTACAGCAGCTTTCTTCTGCAAGTGCTCGTAGTCGAAGTAAAGCCGAAAATCTTTTCCTTCCTGCGGCTTGAGATCGGGACTGTAGCTGCCCTCGAGGCACATCTCTAGATCCACCACGAGTGTCCTGTTGAGATACCGAGCCTCGCCTAGAGCGCACAAAAAGCTCCACATATACTGGTTCATGCTCTTGCAGTAGTCGCCACCCCGAGAGTAGTATAAATACTTGCTGCTCCAGAATGTGTTGAATGACCTGTTATATATCGAGTCATTGACGAAATCCCTCTGGAAGAAAGCATTTTTTCCCGAGTGCCATCCGCCAATCTTCTCGACAACGTAGTCGCACGATGTGTTGACGAGCAGCTTGTACTCCCTGTAATCCCTGTACATCCGCAAAGACTTCTCATGCCTGGGTTTGAACCTCCAGGCTATGTCGCACGCCGAATCCTTCGAGCCTCGAACAGGAACTCCATACTGGAACACTCCCATGTCGGGGAACTTCTTCTTGTTAGCCAACTGGATCGCGACCAAAACATCTGGGTCGGAGCAGTTGATAAACGTCGTCCCGGGATCACAAACTCCAACGCTGACGCTCAAGTTCTTCTCCAGCGCTGGCCCAAGGATTTCTGCCGGTGCTTGAGAAGGAACTGGAGCTAGGATGTCTTCGCCTGTGACGAGAACCGTGTCCTCCTTCTCAAACGTAGCGTTTCTCAGCGTGGAGACAACTTGGTCCATCACCTTCGAGGCCTGGAACACTGGATCCGGTGGTTGATACCCAATGGCGAGAAGCGTGAGGAGCAGCGCTAAAGTGACCACCGCCGCCATGGAAATGGTGCTACTGGCAATCCTCTGGATCATCTCCAGAGAAAAAACGTGGATGTGCTTCATTGCTATCGTTGATTTTCCTCTCACACGGTAAGAGTTTCCTTACGGTCTGGCCATGGCACTAGTTAGTCAGGAGAGGGAAATTCTAGAAGTAGCTCACAAACCTGGAGAATCAGTGCTATGCCGCGCAAGCCGATTTGAAATCCCGGGAAGTTTTCTCATCGAGCAGAAGAATTGATGCCTTCGATTCGCGCTAACATCTCGAGCGAGCGCTCTCTCGCGAAATGTAGCGTAAAAACGATCAGACAAAAACCTGGAAGGAATCGCCGGGCGGATAGATCAGCTCCTCAGCCGCTCGCGATCGACGATTCACTCAATGCCGGACGGATTCCCATCGATCTAGGGAGATCTCTTCGCTGCTCCGGCCAGATCTAGAAGAATGGAAACCTCAAAACCCTGGGAATATTGTTTGAACGCTCCCTCTACCTAATTGCTCCATTAGCGCAAATAACACGTGTTCTCTTGACAGCGGGAAGGAGCTCTTTACTATCGTCCAATGGCCACTCCTCTGCGATTTAGGGCTAGCGCCATTGGCGAATGCTTTGCGAGGCAGCACTCCTCGCGCCTCCCAGCGCAGAGGAGCGGCGCCGGGAGATCTGGAACGCGGCGCCATTGCAGCGCCATCACTGCCAGCCGCAGCACTGGCGTCTTGAATTCGCGCATTGGAGCTGCCAGATCGGGGTCCCTGCCGTTCGAGGAGCTTCTAGCCGGTGCCGAGGCGGCAGCGAAGCTTGGCTCTCAGGTGTCGATCGGTAGGGAATTGTCCTCATTCTCAGCCATGGATTGTCTTTTTGAGGCCAGGTTGTGCTCGATGCATTGGACAAGCCGCGCAGAATCGATTACAAAGGAGCAACGGATCTTGTGACCGAGTATGTCGACTCGATGTCTTTCTTTCTCTCTTCCTTGATTGACGCTCATTCCAGCACGGACAAAAAATGCGAGCTTGCTGTGCTTCAAGAAATCCAGCGAAGGTTTCCTGACCACTTGATATTGGGTGAAGAGGGTGGTGTGATTGGAAACTCATCCTCTGATTACCTCTGGTGTGTCGATCCTCTTGGTAAGTTGGATGGTTCGCTTCGATTTTCCTTGAAAGCTTGAATTTTTGTAGATGGAACGACGAATTTTGCTCACGGATATCCCAGTTTTGCTGTTTCGGTTGCAGTCCTTTACAAAGGAAGACCAGCAGCTGCAACAGTGGTATGTAACACTTACGACTTTCTTTTTTTCTCCCATGTTTACTCGCGTGATTTGGACCGACTGTAGGTGGAATTCGCGGGAGGACCGTTCTGCTGGGTCACACGCACTTTCACCTCATCTTCAGGCAAAGCTGCGATATCATTTCATTTGCTGAAGTCACGCTAAACTTACAGGGGGAGGAGCCTTTTGCGAAGGCAATCCCATTTCCGTCAGTAACACTGATCAAGTGAGTGTGGCTGCGACACCTTTCTTGTGTCTTACAAGAGCTTCTCGAACCAGGTGGAAAGGTCGCTATTAGTTACCGGGTTTGGATACGACCATGACGAAGCATGGGCTACAAACATCTCGCTTTTCAAAGATTTCACGGATGTTAGCAGGGTAATGCTTTTTCTAATTTTCTTTTTGGTCTTACTAATACTGTACACAGGGTGTTCGTCGCCTGGGAGCTGCCGCAGTTGATATGTGCCATGTTTCCCTCGGCATTGTAGAAGCGTATTGGGAATACCGACTGAAACCTTGGGATATGGCAGCTGGGGTCCTGGTGAGGAGTTCTAGCCTTGGCATTAACTCCATAGCTTAACTTTATTGTTTGCAGATGGTTGAGGAAGCAGGAGGGAAAGTAACTAAAATGGATGGTGGGGAGTTTTCGGTTTTTGATCGCTCAGTGTTAGTTTCAAACGGTGTAATACATCCCAAAGTGAGTAGTTGCAAATATTCTAGTTTATTGATTAATTTTTGGTTGCAGCTATTGGACAGAATATCTCCTGCAACAAAAAGTTTGGTCAACCAAGGCTTAGATTTTTCACAGTGGTACAAACCTGAGGGTTACAGTTGCAACTGAAACGTTGTATTCCCTTTCTTTCTAATAAATGATCAAAGACATTCAAAAATTGATTATAGTTTCTTACAGTAGATTTCTTGCCATCTGACAGGAGAACTAGCTTGAGGGGGAGCATAAGGATGATCGTTTCCCAGCCACAGACTGCCATTCTAAACCCGGTTTCTATAATTGCTAGAAATCATGGCTTGAGCAACCAAATCTCATTTGCTACCACAATATTTTTTTATAGATCAAATTGTTATTTTATTTTCTGATACAAGATTGTCATTATTTTGTAGAATTAATATACATAAACCATAAAATTCATTTTTGTTATCTGAAATCCATAAAAGATATTTTTCAGAATAAAGAGAAAGCTTGCAATTTGAACTTACCAATAAAATATATTTACCATTTGGAGAGCTTATAAATTGACAGTGTGAGGGCCAAGTGTACGGCTACAATGCCGTATACTAATATTAGTGTAGTGGGATTTTGGTAGCCGTCGGATTGGTTTTAATCCGGACCACTCACTCTTGTATATAAGCTAGGGTTTTTGGACTAATTGATATGCACATTTCTGTATTCCCTTTCTATATTCCATGCACTCACATTGGTGGAAGTGAGAGGCACCTTTGATTGTCCCTGGGGAGTGCTTGGATTTGGGATTTCAGTTTATATCTAGCTTTTGCATTGTCTAGATCTAGCTTTTTCCATTTTCATTTTTTTGTTCTTTCCTTTCAGGATTTTGGTTTAGATCTAGCTTTTTGCATTGTCTAGATATACCATTTCCTTCTAGCTTTTTGTCATTTCTTTTCTTTTGCTCTTTCTTTTTCATTTGTCTCCATGGCAGATCAACAATCTCCTCCTTTGACTCTGAAGCAATAGTTGGTATAATTGCTTGATGCTATGCGCTTGCAATTGAACAACCAAACTCAGTTGATGGCAGCGTTCACGGCACGTGGTACAACTCCTCCTGCTCTTGGTGCCAATCTTCACGTCCGGCCGGAGTTCTTTCATGGGAATCTTGGGGATGATGTGTACCATTAGTTTGATCACTTTACGGTGATTGCCACATATCATTCTTAGGATGATGCTCGACGTTTGCATGAGTTTCCCACGTGTCAAGGGACGCCATTGCAGTGGTACAACGGTTTGGGAGCAGCCACTCGCAGGGATTGGAGTGTTCTTCCGGATGTCTTCAAACGTGCCTTTGGACATGCCGATGACTGTGATGATGCTTTCCAACAATTGCATCATCTTTGCCAAGGGCCATCTGAGTCAGTGATGCAATTTGGTGTTCGTTTCCGAAGTCTTTTGCTTCGTGCGGAGCCACATATGTCGGAGCGGATCAAGCTAGGAATGTTGTGGCCAGCACTTCTTCAAGATCTTGTCGGACTTGTGCATGCACTTGCTCTCGCCACCCTTGACGATGCTCTTCACTTGGCACAACGTTATGAGACGTCGCCTCTTCC